CTTACCTCTGTAATTTCCCAGACTTGACCTCCATGGCTTCCATAAGTTGGGAGTGGGGTTTGTTTTGCCCTCACCCCTAATGGCACCCCAGACCTCCATGTGGTTTCACCCCGAGCACCAAACTCATGGTTCAGTCAGAAGGAATCCGGGTCTACTGCAGTAGCTTTTGGTTTAAACATAAAATGTTTCTCAACCCAACACTGAGGGCAATTGGAGGTAAGTTTTCAGAGTCCAAGGAGGCAGCAGGACTCTGTGTTTCCACTTCTTTGTCAGAAACTCCACCACCGACAGTAGAGAGCTACCAGGCAGAACCCTATGCTCTGTCGGGTGTCTGCTGACTCAGTCACTGTTCGCACTGCTGGCCCTGCTAGACTGCCCCCTGGCAGCTCTCTATTCCTCCCGGTCAAAGGAAAGCCCTGCTGCTGCTGGCTTCCTCCCCTCTCCCTGACACACTAGGAGCTCCGGGCTACAGGGCAGTGCCTGAGAGCTGTCTGAACTCTCCTCCCTTCTCATCCCCACACTTATTCCTGGTTGCCAACCTTTAGATGTTTTGATATGCAGGCCTCTCAGGCATGCCTCTGTGTTGAGTAGGGAATTCTTTGTTGAATTATAGTTGGTTAATTTGTTGAAATTTCAGGAGGAGAGGCCAAGGGTATTTCTCATGCCACCATTGCTCTGATGTCACCAGATTCATCAGTTCTAAATGAGTTAGTATTGCAGAGTACTATATAAAGCTTTCTAAAACCTATTAAATAAGTCAAAACTTATTTCAAAAACTTCTGCTTGTTGCTACAGTATCATAGTCACCTACTCAAAACCCTGTTTTACTTTTTTATGTGTGCTTTATTTTCACTACATTAAAAAGGTATTTTGTTTAAGTTTTTTTTTTAATCGATCTTTTTAGAGAAAGAGGAAGAGAGAGAGGGAGATGTTGATGTGAGAGTAAAACATCAATTGGTTGCCTCCTACATGCATCCTGACTGGGGATGCAACCTGCAACCTAGGTGTGTGCCCTGACCGGGAATCAAACCCACAACCTTTTGGTGTACAGTAAGATGTTCTGAGTCACACTGGCCAGGGCCAAAAAGGTATTTATATAGAAACATAATTCAAAAATGTTTCTTAGATTGTACCCAGTATCTTTTAGAGACTAAGCATCAGTTTATTTTTTACTTTGTTTTGAAAGGCATTGATTCACAGTTGTCATATAAATTTCCCTTATAGTACTATATAGGTCTGGGAAATCAAGGAGTTGGTATTTCTGAATTTAAAAGCAAGCAATAAGTTATTTTTGCCCTTTTGAGGGGGAATGTTTTAGCAACAGAATCAGTCTCATTTTGTACCTTAATATTTTTTGCTTCATTTTCTATCCTTTGCTCTTATTTCCCAATGGTAACAAGAAAGCAAAGCCCTCAAAGGCTTTATTAGTATTATGGCTAACCTCAGAGCACACAGCTTGTCTTTGTAGTCTGTGTCCGTATCTTGATTTAACATTATGCCCATCATGTCAGATTAATGAGTTGTAACTACTACTCTTATTCTTTACTTTCTTCTTACTCTTCAGCTCTAAGAAAATGGAAAGTGTTTTTGTAAAGTCTTGGTACTATTATTTTTCTCATATACATCATAATTAATGTATTTAAATTAGTCTTGTCCTTCAAAGAAAGCATCTTCCTCAAAACATTTTTAGAATTGTTTTCAGAACCAATTGCTGTTGCAAGGAAGTTTATTTCATGACTACTGATTCCTTGATCCCCACAATTTCTTCTCTTTTTTGTTTTTCTTCCCTTTGGTTCCCTGCCGTCCTGGTTCCCTGCTTCCTGTGTATCTCTGACCCAATCAGTGGTCCTAGATCATCAGAGGTACACAAGTATGCTGGGTTAAAATCAGTACACAGCGGGGAGAAAGTCTGTGAGCTGGACATAAATACTTTCAGTGCCCAAAGTGCAACTAATTGATCAATAAAGGCCATAGGTCAGAATGTCAAAGATGACTTTTATTTCAAGATTCTTCATTCATGTAGGTTTTAAAATACTAATTAAGGAAGGATAAAAATTAATAAAATACCTCTTCATTCTCTGTCAGAGACACATTATCTAAATGGAAAGTATATTACTCTGAGATCCAAGAGACTTGGGCACTAGTCCCAACTCTACCAATAATTAGCATTGGGACCTAGGGCAAGTCACCTCGTATGTTCTGGCCCTCAAGGTCATAAATAATAGCTAACATGGTGTCAGGTAGTCAGGTATCACTTCAAATGCTTCACAGTAAGTTATTAACTCTTACTTCTTGCAACAACCCCATAAGGTTGATGCTGTTATTTTCTGCATTTTATACATGAGGAAATGGAAGCACAAAAATGTTAAGTGACTTGCACAAAATCATTTAGCTAAGTGATAGAACTAAGATTTAATCCGAACAGCCTGATTCTAGACTTCACCCTTTTAACCACATTGGTTTTTTGTTTGTTTGTTTTTTATCTTTTTTTAAATATATCTTTATTGATTTCGGAGAGAGGAAGGGAAAGGGAGAGAGAGATAGAAACATTAATGACGAGAGAGTCATTGATTGGCTGCCTCCTGCACACCCCCAACTGGGGATCAAGCCTGCAACCCAGGCATTTGCCCTGACTGAGAATTGAACCGCAATCTCCTGGATCCGAGGTTGATACTCAACCCCTGAGCCACACCGGGCCGGGCTAACCACATTGTTTTGTTCCCTTTGCTTGTATGATAGCCTATAAAATGACTTGCATATGGTGCCTGAGACCCTTTTGTGTTCTGATATTCAGTTAATTAAATGAAATAAATATGAAAGACCAATTAACTTTTAATTGCTTTAAGTAACAACAGTGATAGAGCTTTACTTCTTACTAATTTTTTCCCCAGCCACTTACCAAGATGGGACAAAGAAGGTAGGACAGTGAACACATGCATTATGGTAGCTGGTAGCTTTCATATTTTACTTTCTCCAGCATCAAGTTGCACATAATAAATTTGGACAAGTTTACAGGTGCAGTAATGAAAGCTAATTTATAAGGCCAGCACAAATCTAACTTTTCCAAGTAAATGGCATAATAATTCAAACAGTCAGTGTAATAAACATTCCTGCAACTCAGTGGTTCCAATTTGGATAATCACTGGAGACTTTGTGAACTAAACTCAGTGAAGCAACAACTAGATTGTTTTGAACTTCAAGTGGATAACAATTTCATAGAGACTTGAAGGAAATTTTTTGTTCTTGTTTTTGCTCTTTAAATTAAAAAAAAAAAATTTTTTTGTTGTTGTTGTTAACCCTCACCCAAGGATATTTTTTCCATTGATTCTTTAGAGAGAGTATAAGGGAGGAGGGAAGAGACACAGAGCCAGAAACATTGATGTGAGAGAGACACGTCGATTGGTTGTCTCCCACACGTGCCCCGACCTGGCCAGGGGTTGAGCCGGCAACCAAGGTACGTGTCCTTGACTAGAATCGGACCCGGGACCCATCAGTCCACAGGCTGAGGTTCTAACCACTGAGCCAATCAGCTAGGACTAAAACATTTTTAAATTTGAAAGTATAAGTCTTCTTCAGTTGTAGTATGTACTTCAGTCCTCTTATCTCCTAAAAAAAAAAATTTCTTGGGATTATATAATATATTCATTAGAGCTTTAATTCCTCCTGGGCTGTCTAATCTCTGGTATAACACAATAGTACTATATTTGATCTTGTGCTACAGTGTGTGTGCTCTTGTCTCATCCTTTTCACTAAATTGAAGTTACCTAAAAGCAGAGATCATATTTCTTTTACATTTTTATCCCTTATAACACCTAGTATTGTAAAATATTTGCATGTAGTCAGTGCTCAGTAAAACATTTTGTTTGTTGAATATACCAGCTTTTATTAGAAAAGGAACCATCTGCAATAGAAATTCTTTTCTTTCAGTCTGTTTAAAATTGTCCTGTGTTGCTTTTTCACCTATGGAAGCTGTCAGTATTGAGTTGCCACACTTTAGCCAAATAACCCATGCCAGTGTGTGCATATTTTATTTTTCAAACTGTGTACATATTTAATTTTTAAACATTAATTTGCCTTTCTTGGTAACTTCAGTTTTTTAAAATTTCTTTATGATGTCAACTTCTTTATTCTATTAACAATGATGGTTTCCATGCAGACATACAGATCACAAAATATTTACACTGTTATGTTTTTATTTATTTGTTTGTTTATTAGTTTGGTGTTTTTTTGTTTTTTATATTTATATTTTTGAGAGTATTACAGACGTCCCCCATTTTTCCCCCATTGCCACCCTCTACCCAGTTCCCACCCCACCCTAGGCCTTCACCACACTATTATGTTTTTATTTTAGTCAGATATTTTACTATTCAGATTTTAATTTTTCTTGCCTAGAAAAGATAAGCTAGAAACATAAAACATTTTAAAAGCCAAAATAGATTTTAAAATATGAAGAGCATTGTAGAGGATTAATTGAGTAAAATTAATTTGGTGACTGGTCAATGAAAATTAAATAGAACTTTCCAAGCATAGAGATGGTCCCTTCATTTTCTACTTACCCATGTCCACCCTGACAACATTACATCCTTCTCTTATGAATTCACCTTTATAAAAATAGTCTGAGTAGACAGCTCTGTAACTGAAACATAATGATCTTCCAGTTAATATCCTCAGAACTGACTTTGTTTTGTTTTTTACTTAGATTTTTGTTACACTTAATTGATGAAAAGATATGCACATTATTTACCTAAATATTTTTGAAAGTACAATTTTAATCATAGCCCCAAAAGAAACTCTTTCATTTCGGAGATTTCAACCCTTGTAAGGAGAAATTTATTTGTGTTTCTGTTAAGAAAATTACATTATAGGAAATGATAAAATACTAAAAAGACAAAGAATGAAATCAAGACCAATAATTTTAAATATATTACTCAGACCATTTCCCGGAAGAATATCTGGCTATTGCAATCTAAGCTCACTTCTATAACTCTCTTTTCTGATAGCTCTTGAAAGGCCATAACAAAGAAAAGGAACACATTTTGGAAGCAGAAAATAAAAAACTGGTAGAAGACCAGGAAAAACTGAAAACTGAATTAAAGAAGACTTCAGATGGTAACTTTGTGTGCATGTGCCAAAGTAGAAAGGGCATGATATTTTATGCTGTTAAATTTCACTGTTTTCCCTAAAACAAATCTAATGGCTAAATAGTTCTTCTGACTAAAATTCCAGGAGGGACCTATTTATAAATTCCTACTCAAATATGAAGATAAAACATTGTTTCAGCCAAGAGAAACATGCTGTGTTATACAGAAAAACATGTAGGTGTTTCAGATCTGTGTTGTAAATACAGATGTTCTTACCTTAGCAAAAGAGCTATGTTCCTGAAAAGTTGCTTGTAAACACATTATTGGAAAATAAATCATGTTCGTCCATCACAGTATATTTCTCCTTTGAAAGAAGTGATTGCAGGGAACACTTTTGGTTATAAGAAAGTATATTGCTGCCCTCTCAGGGGGCTCAATTATTTGGAGCGCTGTCTTGTACACTGAAAGGTTGTAGGTTCAATTCCCAGTCAGGGCTCATACCCAGGTTGCAGGGTTCATGCAAGAGGCAACTGATTAATGTTTCACATCAATATTTCTCTCTCTCTCTCTCTCTCTCTCCCCCTCCTTTCCTCTCTGTCTAAAAATCAATGAAAACATATTCTCAGGTGAGGATTTAAAAATAATTTTTAAAAAAAGAAAGTATAGCCCAGCCAGGCATGGCTCAGTGGTTGAGTGTCAACCTAGGATCCAGGCAATCGGGGTTTGAGTCCCAGTCAGGGCACATGCCCGGGTTGCGGGCTTGATCTCCAGTTGGGGGCATACAGGAGGCAGCCGATCAATGACTCTCTCATCATTGATGTTTCTTTCTCTCTCTCTCTCCCTCTCCTTTCCTCTCTCTGAAATCAATAAAGATATATTTTTAAAAATAGTAAAAAATAAAAAAGAAAGTATATTGCTAATCTCAAGCCCTAATATTTCCTATCTGCCAGATATATGGAAAGCATTCCTTGAAAGAGATGGGTAGGCATAGAGTAAGAAAAATCTGGAGTCAACTGAAAATTTGAATGGTTTCATTCCAAAATACATTGCATTGAGGACTTGGGGAGAGCATCCTAACTTCATTTCCCTGAAGGCAGCTATTCTACATTTTTTTGCTTTTTGAAAAATAGTTCTGATAGTATTTTTTTCTTAGTCAAATTATTATTGCTTGCATCCACATAGCAGAGAAAATTGTGTACTGCAAGTCCGATGTCATCCCAGGAAACTCTGTGTAAAAGTTTGTGGTTAGTCAAAATTTCTGCATAAAATAGACATTCCTTGATGTTGTCCAGACACTGGGAAACCTCTCAGCCAGTCAGACTTAAAATAATAATCAGTGCATAGGCCTTCTCCAGTTTTAAATCTCTTTCATTTCTTTATGTTGGAGGTAAATTGGAGAATGTTCATGACTGGATCAAGGACCTACTTTATGCCATTTGTAAATTTAGATTTTTTAAATAGATTATGCATTTACATTGTTTGGATAGAGTTTACTTTATCAAGATGTGTTTGAATTTGAGATGAAAAATCTGAAGATAAAAGCTAATTCTGTAAAAAAACAAAAATCAATAGGGTATTTCATGCAATATAAAATTTTTAGTCACTTTTCTGCTTATTTAAAGTGAAAGAAAGTAAATCTGAAAATTGTTTAGAGGCAGTAAATTAAAAAATAAGTTACTCTTCTAGACAAGGTGGTATATTATGTAGTAGGTAGTAGTATAGCCCAAAATTCAAAATCTTATCATAGTTTGTACTGTTGGCTCTTCTGCCACTCCAAAAGATTTGGAACATGATCAAGAAGTTTTAATATTTGTATAAAAATAAGTTTAGTAATCAGCTACCCCCTACATTAAACATTTCAGAAAAGAAACAGTGTTCTTTTTCTACCCAACACAAAATACTGCTGCTAATCTTCCTGAAGAATGAGAAGGACTATTTTCAAAATATCTTTTATTAGTTTAAAAAATTGTTTCAAAATCTTGCTTTTATTCACATCTGCCAATGATCCTTTTTCTTATGTTGTTAGCAGGGTGTTACAATAATAAAAGATAGATAAGAATAGATTATATACCCTGCTACACCGCTCAACCCTGAGCTTTAACTTCACAAATCTGAGCTGTAACTCTCTAACTCAATATTATTTTAGATTAACATAAAGAAAGGCAATATTTCTTTAACAGACAGTTCAGATGTTTGGAGAAAATGAACTCTTTGATAGTATAGGCATTGTGTTTATAATCTGAGAACAAGAGGTGCCAGCTTCTGTGTTTGAAGTGTAGACTGCAAAGCTACTTTCAAAGTGAATCAGTGTTGAAGTAAAAGCAGATTTTACCTGTTTGAATATGTCCTGTTTGGTTCCTGGAAGGTGTGTAGTATCTTATGAATACACTTTATTTATCCAAAGTTATTATTTTAGATAACATCATTAATGACCTTGAGAAGATCAAAGTTTCATTTCTAAAGGAGGTATTTCCTTGGCTATGTTCTCTTGACCTACACCAGTCAAGTTTATTAAGGCAAGAACTAAGAAATTACATAAACAAATAGTACAAGATTCGGATGAATTTGGCAGCACCATGCTTTGAATGTAGTACCATTTAAAAATATTCACTGATTTCTAAAGATTGAGGGTATTAAGGCTTACGGTGCTTAAGAAATGTTTCAGAAAGTTCTTTTATACTTGAAAATTGAGTAGAAAAGCAATGTGGTGTATTTTTTAATAGGGGTAAATAGAGTGTTTTCCATGATTTGTATTACCCTTAGTGTTTCTTTAATCTAAGTGAAACATTTTCTCCAAAGTGTATTAGTAGAATTAAAGCATAAATATAAATGTTTATTTAAGCTGGTCATCACCAACTTGGAAAACTGGCATCCTGAAAACAGGAATTAAGAACACTCCATCAGTAGTACCAATTCAGATTTTGCCCAGAGTTAGTAAATTACTTGTGCTTCAGTGCAGTAATATGACCCTAGTGATCCAAAGAGTGTGCATGCCCCAAAACACCTAATTTACACTTAGGACTGTTAGTCAGGTATAAGGACCTGCCTCATCTTTTGGTTTTAATGATCTGTTTAACAGTGCAGCTGATGTCCCAGTGTGTAGCATAATTGGGAAAAGCCACTGCCATGCAAAATGAGAACTTAAGCTTTGAAGAATTTACAAAGTTCACAAGCTTTCATAATAAAAATAGATCTTGCATGTAATGGAAAACCTTCTGATGTTCAAGGAAATTGACTTCAAAGGAATCTTTTAGGATAGCTACTGTATTCTTATGAATAAATATCTCCTCAGTATTATTCTTATTACTGGAGGAAATATGTACCATTTAATCATTACATGTATCCAGGCGGTGGTAAAAGTAAATATGATTTTAAAAGTAATTGTGCTGCACATGGAAATGTCTCTTCCTCATCCGTTTAAGAGCAGGAATATATTTATAACATGCTACATTAATAGAGTTCTAGGGCTGCCTTTTTTTTTTTTAAATAAGTTTTTATTGATTTCAGAGCGAGGAAGGGAGAGGTAGAGAGATAGAAACATCCCCAGTGGAGATTGAGCCCAAAACCCGGGCATGTGCCCTGACCAGAATCGAACCATGACCTCCTGGTTTGTAGATCGATGCTCAACCACTGAGCAACACCAGCCAGGCTAGAGTTGCCATTTTAGTAGAGGTTGAATAGTAGTATATTTCTCCTACAAAAAGGGAAAAGAAAAAGACGACAAAAAAGTGACTAGGGCAAATTCCTTGGCCCTACCTTTATTCTTTCTCTCTTTCTCCCTTCCTTCCACCACCCCCTTTCTTTCCTTCCTTTCCTTCCTTCCCTTTCTTTCTTCCCTCATCCCACCCTGCCTTCCTTCTTTCTTTTCTTCTTTCCTTTTTTTCTGTTTCTATCAACAGTTTTTTAAAGAACTTTACAAACGATTTATTTATTGCAAGATTTTTTAAAGATTTTTTTATTGACTTTTAGTGAGAGAGGAAGGGAGGAGAGAGAAAGAGAGAAACATCAATCTGCTGCCTCCTGCACACCCCCCACTAGGGATCAAGCCCACAACCTGGGCATGTACCCTGACCAGGAATCGATCTGGCAACCTCCTCGTGCGCTGGACGATGCCCAACCAACTAAGCCACACCAGACAGGGCTAGTTGTGATGTTTTTATTTACTGTGCGCTTCTTACCCATTCCCAGGACCTGTACATGTAAAATAAACCATTTGAGTGTCATCCAGTGACCAGGAGAAATAGCTGTGGGGAAGACAGAAACTTAAGATAGAAATTCAGGGTTACCTTATATATCATTCACAATACCAGCAGTGTAACTGATGCTACCCTAAGAAAAGCTTTTATGATCTCTCTACAGAGGAGCATTAAAGCAAGAGAAAACAGTCTAGATGGGTGGATCCAACATATGTATATAAAATGACTGTGATTCATTTCCTTGCCTGTATGAGATCAATAAACATGGAGCGGAGAGTGCTAAATGTATACTAAATAAAGGAATGTTCCAGATGATGAGATTATAATCAAGCTCAATTCTCTTAGTACAGGGTGGGGCAAAAGTAGGTTTACAGTTGTGAGTATGATAAACAGAGTTTATTTTTGTATTATTATTTATTACTCATTGTATGTATTCTTTTCCATCCGAACAACTGTAAACCTACTTTTGCCCTGCCCTGTATGTGTAGACATGTAGATTGGCAGAAAAATTAGTGAAATGACTTTCTCTTGTGAGAAAAGCAAAGCATGTAGCAAACTGGTCTGTCAGAAGTTGATATGTCACCCTAGGATACAATCAAAGATAATGCTGTAAAGTTGAGAGACCGGTTGATAGAGCCTCTAAGAGATTGAGGAGATGATTAATTAGAATGCTTTGGTGTTCTTCTCTGCTGTCTTATTCCCTGTCTGGATATGTGTGGTCACTAAAGGCCTTCATGGTAAATACTTTTATACTGAGTATAATAGCTCGTATCAGGTTTATGTTTACCCCAAAGTGAGATAAAGAAATTAAGCTGGACAACTCTAGTCTAAA